TATCAGAATCTGAAGTACAAGGGAAACCTCAAAAAATTGAAATATAGAAGCAAAGAATAAACAGTGCTTTCTAATGAATTTTAAAGTATTCATCCTGGCCACAGAAATTTCATATCTTAGTGTTTAGCAGCATGTAAGAACTAGAACCTGAGAGAACGACTGAGACCACTTCAACCTGACAGAAGCCTCATTAACTTGTGAAGGAAGGGTCAGTGTTGGCACAGGAACTTAGGATGAGAAGCTATGGGGCCTTCAAAGCTTAGACATGCAAACATACAAGATAGTTTCAAACAGCTGTGAAAAGAACAATAACAAAGACTGTTGTAAAATAGCAGGATGTAAAAACAGAAAGAGCAAGGTATTTTCAGTTGGCTGTAACTTTGTAAATTACAACATCTGTCCATTGTGAAAATCAGATCATCAAAATAGATGGCATATGTTGTATTAGATTTTATCACTTATATAAACTCCAAAGTTTAGTTGGAGCTTCTGTAATCTGTAAAGAGTAGAGAAATGCTTAAAGACAATAAGATAAGAATGCAAGAAAGCTAAAAATTGACAAAAATAACACTGAAATATTGGATAGTACTGAAAATGATTTTGCCTGAAAGTGTGCATCTCAGATTGCTTTCAGTGTTTCACAAACAAAAACATATGCTGAATCATTTTTAATAACTAACTGATGGAATGGAACACAGGGAACTTGAGAAGTTCAAGGCAAATGATAGTTCTGTCACCCTGGGTAAGCCCTACTTTCACTCCCCAGGAAACAGGTCTGACTCTACTGTCTGTGGACTTAGGACAATAGGTCTCACACCTGTGTTCTGTATTTCTGATCCTTCATGAACAGTCCTTCAAAGTGAATTCTGAAACTCTTTTTCCTTTTATCCAAGGACTTCAGACTGGCAGCTCATGAATGCTGATCTTTAGTTCCACAGCTTACTCTGTCTTAGCTCGCAGCCCACACTCCTAGGTGTACTGTGCAATTGGCTGGAGAGAATTCAGAAAATTGGGTGTCACTGCTAGGAGTACAGCAACAACTGCTAACATGCAGCCTTGCAGCCTTCATTTCTGGCCAGACATGTCTTTCCTAATGTAACCTAGCATATTGATTCTATCCATATGTATGCTATGTAGAACATTGTACACAACTACATTCATTTTTTCCATATGTATGTTGTATAGAGCTATGTGCATAAACACATCGACTCTTCCTATATGTACGCCATGTAGAGCACAAGCACAATGATTTTACCCATATGTATGCTGTATAGAGTTATATAAACAAACTGAAATGATATCCATTTTTTTCCTGCATATTTTCTTTCATACTGATGACTATAAACAATTAACCTAAGGCACGGATAAGAGCTTCTGACAGTCCATGTGTGTTCATTATGTACTGCTTTTGGAAGACAATAGAACTAGCAGGAAGTGAGCTTGGTGACAGCAAGGTTGATAGCTAGAGAAGCATGCCTGGAAGAGAGGCACCTAGAACCTCCTCCATCTGCATTCATAAGCAACTGTCTCAGAAAGAATCCTCAATTATTTAACATTGCAGAACCAATGTACCAAGGCAAACTGAGCATAAACTAAACCTTATCACTATTAGAAAAATAAAAAAATCCTGCTTTTTTTTCAAATATTTCCATTTCATGTATTGGAAAAGTGATTACTAACACACCAACCCTATTGCAAAACACATTCATATTTTTTCTTATGAAAAATAGCCTACACACACACTTCAAAATACCAACCTAAAGAGAATATGAATAAATGTTTCAATGAAAACTATGAAATAACAAATAGTTGAATGAAATAATGAAACAATTTATAATACAAGTTCTTAGTTTTGAATTCTAATTGTGTTTGGTTTTTGTTTAGTGTGTCTATTTGTTTATTAGATTTGTGTTTTACATAGTTTGTGCAATAAAATTTTCTTCATTGGTAAGTTTGATACTGCAAAAAAACAAATATTACCCCTTTAAATATTAAAGTAATCAAGTTTATCAATTTCCTCCTTTAAGGATGATGTATTTATATTTTCTACATAAGTTATATTAATTTGTTTTATAGTTTGTCACTTCAATATTTTCATTGTATTCACAATTCTTAAACATGATCTCAAATTAATATCTGACACTAATATTTCTATGTTCCTACTGAACTTCAAGTGATATGACTGAGAACATATTATATTAGTAGACAGGCTCTCCAAAGAAAGTCCAAACAAAGCAAATCCGGGGTATCTAATCATTTAATCAGTCTATTTTGTTTCTGTTTAGGCAAAGACAGTTATTCTGGCTCTTTGGATTGCTTCTCTTGGGAGTTTCCACAGTATGCCCTGACTTCCTCCTTATATATTTGGTACCTCTTTCTCGAGTGCTAGCATGACTTTTTGCAACTTTTATCATGTGTTTCATCATTACCAATTAGATAGCTTTTGCTTATAAGTAACTGAGAAATAAACACAAATGTATTACATTTCAAAGGAAATATATTCACTTGCATTTATGGCCAGCTCAATGAATTTAGCTTTAGATATGACTGCTTCACCTAGTGGTTAAGAGTCCCTCTGTCTATTTTGACCATTTCTTGTAACCACCATTTCTGTCTCCATATAGATCTTTCTCCTTTATTCAGCTAACTCTACTCACCTTTGGCTCCATTAGCCATCACTATACATTAACATAGTCCCAGAGTGAAGCAGAATCCAGAGTTACCTCTTTTTTTCATTTTCTCCTAGTGTTAAAATGGGTCATTGCTCAAAAAAAATCAGAAAATGAATAAATCTTGGTTTTGTGTACTGAGATAGGCTTTATAAGATAGAGTAGTTATGGGGAATGCCCTTCTGTATATATGTTCTTCTTAGTGTTGATGAATAAAACACTGTTTGGCCAATAGCCAGTAGAGGTAGACAGATAGGTAGGGCTAGGAGATGAGGAGAATTCTGACAGAGAATTCAGAGAGAGAGAGAGAGAGAGAGAGATGCCATGTAGCTACTGAAGGAGAAATAGCTTCAGACATTTTCTGGTAAGCCAAAACTATGTGAAAATACTTTGATTTATAGAAATAGGTTAATAAATTAGACAGAGTAAGACAATAAGAAGCCCAAGCCATCGACCAACAGTTTTTTTAAAATAATATAGCATTTGTGTGCTTATTTGGGGCTGAAGTGAGGGACAACACAGTAACAAAATCAGTAGGCAAGAGCCAATCAGGCCCATCTATAGAGTATATAGAACAACTCTCAAACACACCTAACACATTGCTGTAAAATGTTGCAAATATCAAAAACATGAAGGGTAAAGATATTGATAAAGCATCTGTAATGGAGGAACTTGGCTGCATTGCCTAGACTTTGGAAAATCCTGATTCATTTACTGCCTGGAATATATAAGAATCTGTTTTGTGAAAAATGAAAGCATCACAAAACAACAAATTCTCTAAGTTTAAGTACATTTGAGTTTTTCTAAAACACAAAAACAATTACTACATGAGAAAACTTTATATGACACAATTCCTTAGCATATCATTCATGATGTTTTCTTGACACTGGAATTGTAATGCTTCAGCACTCAATCTCTAATTTCCTTCCAGGCTTCATACATGCTGTATGTATCTTCATATTATAGGTGTAGCTAGAGGACATTATTTCATGTTGTTAAGACATTTTATTGTCAAGAAGGCAATTGATATCATCATTTGATAAGAGGCTCGCTAATATACACAGCAGTTTGTGGTTTACAAATGTGCTGGGGCTTATATCCACCTTTGATTCTCACAAATGTGTGGCTTTACCATGCTTCTATAGACACAAGCATGGGGCCTTTACTGCAGAAGTGAGATGGGGCATTATGATATTACCACAGGAAATAACCAATTCTGTAAAAAGTGGATAGTTGCTGAAATGCATAAAGGGCTCTACTCATCACTGAATTAACAAGTTCAGGGCAGCAGAGATGGCTCAGCAGCAGGAATGCCAGACTCCAAGATGAGGAGATTTGTCCTAGGACTCACCTGCTAGAAGAAGTTAAGTGATTCACAAAGTTTTTTCTTTTTTATCTATACGTATGCTGTGGAATATGTTCCCACATGCATGCACACACGTGTACACACACATACACACTAAAAAGTTCATGTCTCTAACATCCAGCATTCTTGACTTTGGAAATGCTTTCTTCAAAACATATTTTAATGCTTTTGTTGTTCGAAGAAAAAGAGATGATGTAAAATTGTGGTAGTGGATAGAGCTTTAGATCTAGACACACAAACCCGAAGGACTGAAGTCTTAGTTCACAGTAGTGAGAGAACTTTAACAACATGTAGAAGCCATTTCTTCTTCAGAACTGTAATGATGAAGCTGAAGGCCAAAGAAATATGCAGCCCATGATATTCATCTCACCACAGGTATCTTAACTGCTTCAGTTTTATCCTGCAAAATCCAACAAGGCCTGACAAACTGCTCCATAGAAGGAGAAGCATCTCCCAGGCAATGATGCGTATAGACAGAGGGATTTTTTTTTAGTCAATTCAAGGAATTAGGCTTTAATGCTTTATATTAAAGTCTTCATACCCCTGAAGCTGTTGCTATTCACTGACTCTTGGCAGGCAGTGTGACTGCCAGAGCCGATGCTATCCACTGAAACCTGGCAGGCAGTGAGCCTTCCAAAGCTGAACCTGTAAAGACATGCTAAGTGATTTCCATGCATGTAAAAATGCGTTATTTGTGAATCTCCTTTTCTTTGGAACAATCTAAACTCCTGGTTATCCTCCTTTAAAAAAAACATCTCACCGTCATTAAGTTTTTAAATTTTAATTATAATCATCTTTCAAACTCATCCCTATAGGAACATAGAATGGGACAGATCCCTGCCTATCACAAATCAGTAGTTTTGAAATGAATAATTATAGACCTTTCAATTCAAGAGATTAACAAAAAAATATGACCAATGTTCTTAAAGTATTCACAAGATATAAAGAAATACAAGTTATCTTACCATTATATGGGAGTTCTAGAGGGCTACAGGCATCATTATCCATTCTCAGTTTTGGCAAACCAATGAGTTTTTTAGCAAAGGACGCAGAGATGGGCTGCACTAACAGGGATGTGAGGTTTGGACGGCTCTGTCTAAAGCTTCCATCTGTATGCAAAAGAGAAAAGGTCCAAATCCTTAGCAAACAGAAACTGAAAATAATCATAGACAAGTTCTTTGTAATCAAGTGTATGCATTTTGGGTAGTAAGTCTATATTTGTTTGTTTATTTACTCATATTCAACTTCTTAAAATGACTTGAAACACTAAAATTATTTAGTCTGAATAATATTATATTCCTCCATCAACAACATACACAGACATTTACCACCAGTTCTACCCCTATGACTCTCTAATGTAACAAGAAAGGAATGGAGACACAGAAGTGAATGGGATCCAAGACAGCAGAGGGGGGCTGGATAGTACGCATTGAAATATAATTAATAAGCAGGTAAAATAGAGAGTGGATCCCAGAGATCAGAACTGAAGTTATGATGAGGAGATAGGAAGTAATGTGGCTTATAGCACAGAATTCAGAAGGTCAAGAACTGGAAGTTCCTACAAGCTTTGACAGGCTAAAGAATGGGGAGCCTCTGAAACAACATGTGAAGAAGACTCCTATACGCACAGTCAGTTGTGTGACCCTTCATTGTGCTAAGTGGGAAGTAGGGACACAGAAGAGGGAGGTTTAAGATGATGATGAAATTACCATGTTAAACAGGATACTGTTAGGATGTCTGAGAATTCACATGGTTAACTCTGTGTCCTTCAGGCAGCAGAACATTTGGTAGCAGCATGTATGAGTAGACCAGTAGAAATTATTTTCTAAAACCAATGAAAATCTGAATGGCACTGATAAAAACAACTTGTCCAAGAACTCTCACACCTAAGCTCATGGTCAATGAATATTACCTACATCCCAAACTATAATCAACTAAAATTTTCCATTCTTGAGAATGACCTCTCAGCCAAAGGCATACACACAGAAGAGGGAAGATGTGAGCAGAGGTCAAGGGGCTGAGGAGAACCTACTGAACAACAGAATGAATGGGGATACATACAATATGTGAGCCAAAGTCTCCAGTAAACACACACAGTAAGATTGGAGGTAGGATTTAAACATTTCCCAGACATACAGGAAAATGAGTATTATCTGGAGATACTACTTGGCTATAACAGGACTACAGGTTGTATAAAAAGGAAATGCAACAGTACAGTATGAATAAGGGTGGTATAATCATAATCAACATATGCATAAAAATGTATTTCAGGACAATGGAGACAAGGAAAAAATCTTGGAATGGTATATATGAGACACGAAGGTAAATGCTGATGATGCAGAATGATAAGTTGGTGAGAATCATGAGTGAAAATAAAATATGGTGCTGGGAAGATGGCCTCAGAAAGGAAATCCAAGCCCTGCAAATACAATAACCTGAATTAGTTCCCCAGAGTCCCCATGTTAAAGGGCAGGGATGTGCTGGTATTGTGGCATACAATTGGAATCACACAGAGACAGGAGAATTACTCTAGGCAGCCTTAGCTAATTCACAAGTTCCAGGCAACCCATGAGAGACTCCATTTGTAACCAAACAAAAATTATGAAAGTACCTAAGAAACATCATCCAAGGATGCTAAAAAGCTTCCATACACATGCACATGTGCAAGCTCACCTCACACAAACATGTGCACCTATACATGCATACAGTCATTGAATAATAAAAATGATGTAACTCTAACATATGCACGAGTAAGAAGGAAACCATAAAACATGGGAGACTAGGAAAAAATGACAAGCCAATTAATTATGTACTTGGGAGAGATCAAGAGAAGGAGACAGGAAGGAGTGGAGCAAGGTAATTTTAGGAAGTAAATCCTCTCACAAATATTTGGATAAGTAATGAGCTACATTTGTCTATAATTTTAATAAAATACACATCAAACAAAACTGATACGACAAAATAATTATGACAATGTAAAGCATACTCAGAGAACAGTGGAGGAGACAATAAAGCAAATGTGCTCAAGCAAACAAGAAAATACTTGTTAAGACTATTTTATTGCCTGAGAAAAGGAATTCACAGTTGAATGCCGACAGTTACATTTTAGAATGCGGAACGATAATTTTCAGAACTTCTATTAGGGAAATGATTCCTGGAGGTTTACTTGGAATTTAATTTGATATATCTGCAAGTGGTACAGGCTTCCATGATTCTCGTAACCAAGTTTCAGGAGGCAAATTACACATGAGAAAATTTGTTTGTGAACCACTTTTTTAAATTTATCATGTGGATAACCACATGACAAAATATTATACTTTGTTTAAGGCTATAGCTGTCATAAAAGCTGAGGTTTTGAGCTTTGTCATTGAAGCACAAGGCTGGTCTTGGGTGTCTGTTACTAGTGTATACCATTGTGTGACAGTGAATTTTGACCAAAAAGTACTTTATTGCTCCTTGACTGTTTCATGTCAAAGACCATGGCAAGATGTATAATTTGCATTGCCCAGGGTGAAGTGACAAATATGACTGATAGCTGGAAAAGCAGGATGAGTTTTGATATGGCAGCATAGTGTAAATGAAGTGGGGGACCTTTCACAAAGGACACTCTGAGACTGCACAGGTCATATGCTCACAAGCCAGGACATGCACAGTTCACAGACATGATGTTAGGAATCATGTAGCCTGTTGAGTCAATGTGATGGTTATATTCATGTTTCATGAAGTTGCTTTCAGCCAATACTGATCACTCAGTCCTCTTCTGCTCCATCCTGTACAGTAGGACAAGGCAGCTCACAAATCATAGCAAACACAAATCATACCTAGGTGGCTGCAACATCTTTAAACATAGTAATGTTTTACATTTGAAATTTCTACACATTATGTAAATATATTGATGACTTCCATCCATCACTACCTCCCTTCAACTTCCCAGTATCCCATTCTCCTAGCTTCATGTTCTTTTAAATTTTACTTTCATTTTAAAATCCCTATAGTGATATTCCTGTGCATGCTGCTTTCATATTATTTTCATTTACCTAGTGATGTTTTTTTTCTTGTGATTTTTCAAATTTGTTTTTGTTGAGTGTGTGTGTGTGTGTGTGTATGTGTGTGTATGTATGTATATACATACACACACATACACACACACACACATATATATATATATAACATTCTGCATACACTCACTCTATCATCTTTTTTTTTTCCCTCTTATGTCCCCCTTATTTTGTGAGAAAATGTCTCTTAATCACCTGTAATTTTCCAAGCAGACAAGGCTTAGCTGAAAGAAAGCTTCAGGGGTCCCAATCTTTAGGTCACAACATCCAGGACTTAATCTGACATTTTATATGCATTTTCACCTTTCAGCTCACTCCCTTTTGTTTACAAGGCAAATGCTGCCTTATATTCCTGAAAAGGTAAAATCTGTGATTGCAAAGTTGTCATGGATGTCAGGAATTGGTATATTTTCAATAGCAAAAATAACTTCTTAAGGTTATGAATGATGTAATGCCTACCATATGCAAAGTAATCTTAAGCCTTGGGGTGCCAATATTCACTCATCGTTTTCTAACATCCAGTTTGTCCCTCTGTGCATTCTGTGATCTACATATACTATGAATTGATTTAAGCCATTAATTTCGTGAAACCCATTCTGAGGTCATCACACATGTCTAAGGTACTCACTTTCTGCAAAGTCCAAATTGAAGTCACTTCCTACAGCAAGTTTTCACTGGTAATTATCCCAGCTCTAACTCTGCATGGTTTTAGCCTGTTTTCAGTTTTAGTTAATATAATCACTAAATGAAATCATTTCCCTTTTCCTGTTAAAATATGACAAATGGTGCCAAACATCTTGTCAAGTGTTCAATAATTTGAGAAAGACAAATGACTCAACAATTGTTTGAAAATATTGTCTTTCTGGGTCTCAAATAAAATTGTGTATATATTCTCTCACATTTTGATCATGCTTTATTTATAGCAAGATGTCACCTCCCAAGCAGACACAGTAAATAAATTTCTAAAGCCCATTTGTTCCCATTAACTCACTAGTTAATCATGGTTTAAAGCAATCATTGGTAGATGAAAGCATTTCAATAAATAAATCATATTTAAATATATTTATCAGCTAATAAAAAAATCAATACTCAACTTCTGTTTGTCTCTGAGATGCTCTATCAAGCACACAAAACAATGGATTTAAAAGTTAACTACAAGGGAACCTTAAGCCTAAATTGAACATCCCTAAGCCTTTGATGGTATTTGTGCTGCATGACTAATAGGCTCACATTAGTTTGGAAATATCCTAAGTAATTGGTTCATTAGCTTTTCACTTTCACCTTAATGAAAATTTGACAAACAGTTCACCTCTGAGAGTAGCTACTATCTTTGCAGGACACTTTGGCTTAATTATATTCACAAGCTATGTTTTAAAAATCTGTTTTATTAAAGAACTGAAGAATCTCATTTTCTTATATATTAAGAATTTTTGAATGCAACTAAACATGTATACCACTTCACTTAGTTATATTTTAAAGCACAATTATGAACTATAGGAATCTATTATGCATGATACAAAATTAAGTGGGTCATGTGCAAAGACACAATAGGTAATACGTAAGAAATATGTGGCAGTATTTTCTGTGGTGTTAGCTTCTGTTTCCTGACCTGCATTGTCTACCTTCAATAACAAATAACATAAGCCTTTAGTGCAGCTGACAGGCAGCTGCCTTTCTTTTCTGTATATTTTGTTATATAAAGAGGAAGGAAAATATACAGGATTCTGTTACTAGTAATTCTACCTGTGACAAATGCCACATGTCTATAAAATGAGAATTTGAATAAACAAGATGCTAAGTTTCACTCTGTCTTGACTCATAGTTGGAGTGTAGCAAGGATGCAATTTTACTATGATAATATTATTACTCTGGAGCTGGGGTGATGGCTCAGTAGTTAAGGGCACATCTTGCTGTCAAAGAGAACCTGAATTCAGGTCCCAGGACTCACATAGAATACTTCACATCTACCCCTAAGAAGTTCTCAGAGAATCTGACACATTTTCTTTGGTTTTTTAGGTACATGACCTCAAAGATGCACATTCCCACACATA